GGGGAAGGGAAGGGGCAATGCTTGAGGTGTTTACTTGAGATAAGGCTTTATGTGCTTACCCGGGCAAGGCTTAAGGTACTTATGAAAGACAAGGCTTATTTGTTTGTACGGGGCAATGCTTGAGGTGTTTACACGGGATAAGACTTTATGTGCTTGAACGGGGCAATGCTTGAGCAGTATTACAAATGAAAAATTATCTTTATTAGGATAAGATCCCGACGACTACTTAAGTGAACATAACTTGATCTAGCTATAAATTAAATATGGGCATGTAGGAATGACCAATCAAATAATAAGAATAAGTGGTGGCATAAAAGCCCAAAAGAACATGTAAAACCATGATACTTTAGATGTATGACATTAACCAACTAAACAATGACATTGATCATGCCTGCTATTGGTCGATTGTTGTCCCCGACGTCTGAGGTATTATCCTTGTTATGATCATTCCTCGAGAGTTTGTCTTGACCGACATAAGCTCCTAGGAATCCTCTCTTGACCAGAGACTCGATCTTGTACTCCAAGGCTTTGTATGTCTCTGTGGCATGCCCATGATCTTGATGAAACTTATAATACTTGCACTTATCTCTAGTGTTAGGAGGGGATCGCATACTTGAGGGGCACTTAAGCTCTTTGAGGTCCTTGATTTCCATTAAAATGTTTGACCTAGAAGTGTTCAAATGTATGAATGACGTCAGTGGTACGTCTTACTTCTGCTTACCTCGAGCAAGATCATGTCATGGATTTAACTTGTGTTGTCTCTTATGCTCGATCTCTCAGTGGCCGGGCTAGTCTTCCTTAGGTACATTGTTTCATTCATGTTTATGTATTTTTCTCCTCGGGTAAGAAGCTCGGTCACTGATTTTAGAGAGGTTTTTGACAAGGACATCTTAAATGCTTCACATCTTATAACATATATAAGGGCGGAGATAGCTGCTGTAATATGTAGGTTGTGTATTTGGAGCCTTTCTGCATGAAACCGTCCTTGGAGAAGCTACATGAGGAATGCAATGATCTTCCGGATGCGTTTACTACTTGCAAAGAAGGTTGAGAACTTGTTAGTCAAATCTGAGAATTAGGTAATGGAATTGGGTTCTAGAGTAGAGAACAAATCCCTAGCAGCATTAGATAGGGTTTGCGAAAAGGCTTTGCATATCACAAGATTCGGTGCGACTTGTAAATTCATGACATGTGTATACATTGAGGTGATTGAAGGGGTTAGTGGTCCCATCGTACTCCTTTATGCGAGAGTATTTGAATCTATCCAATAAGGGGTATGACAGTATAGTGGGGGTAAATGGAGTATTAGGAGTGAACTTTGCTCTTCTATGGGTATTTTGAAGTAGACCAACCGCAGTCTTATCCTGTATGATCCTGGCGAGTTCACCTGAGTCCATAGTAATTGAGGTTTCTATTCCACCAATATCGTGGGCAAGGCATGGAACCCGAGCTTAAGCATTGGCCATAAAACCTCCTGGTGGTGCCAATTTTGGATGCAAATTCCTTTAACTTAGCAATTGAGTTAGCATGACAACTTGTTGGCGGAGCTCCTTGGAAGCTCCAGTAGTAACAATTGCTGCTTGGGGTACTGGTATTTCTGATGATTCTTCTTGAGAAGTTGAAGGATCTTCAGCAGGATGATGGTTTAGAAAGGATGAGCATGCTGAAAGAAGATCTGAACGTATATTAACCAAGGCTTTTGGTAGTGATTCCCACGGACGACGCCAATGATGCTACTAAATATCGTACATGTTGATTCCGGAGCTTGATGACTGAGGATGAGTACAAACGAGATCTTTCGATACCTGAAACAAAAGTAACGAGGTGTGACCTCGTTTCCCCTTCCATGCTTAAGTTAGAAAGAGGGGAAAAATATACGCATAAGGCTATAAATTGAATGTAAAAGCATATCTCAACAATGAACTTTGGGCATGTATTTATAGATGTTGATGGTAGAGTTGCAAAATGATCTAACTATATGTAACCATTATCCTTATCATGTAAAGTGTTTGTCTTATATTGAAAGTGTTTTGTTTGAGTTAGAATTAAATCGCGATAGGTAAGCAATGATGATAAAGATCATGGAGAATTATAGTCGAAGTAGGATTAATATTTTCTAGAAGGTGTGAAATAAGGACTACGATCCATGACGTATGACCCGACCTTAGCATGGAAGCTCGACCTTGGTGCTTGGGTAAATGTGGGAGGATAAGATCGGGCTATTGACTTCGATTCCGATCACATAAACTTGAGAATGTTCTAGCTCTAAGAGAGTGCTCGAGGTTATCATGACCTCGAGCATGATGTCGTGTATGGTCGGGTCATACAGATATTGTACATATCAATACTATTTTATATTTTGTTGGTGATAAGTAAATTCCCATAAATCTAAAGAGTTCAATTCAAATTTCAAGTCTTTTTCAAATCGAAAATGATTTCAAAATTTTCACCTCCAAGAACTTATATTTATTTTTCATTCACAAACATTAAAATGAGTTGGAAAAACAAAAAAAGATAACTTCAATATGAATTTATAAATTGGGGATTTATCAAGAAATTGATCCCTACAAGCTAATTTTGGTTTAAGAATTAAACAATGCCGAACAACCTTAATTTTCCAACCAAATTAAGAATGAAACATGAAGTTTAGTCATGCACAAGTAAAGATAAAAATGCACACACAATTTTTAACACTCTAATCAAATCTATGTCTGTTGTCTATTGCACTCTCAATTCTCTGTACTACTATTTTATGGCAGTTGACTTGACCGTCGAATGATAAACTACCGTGCAACTTATTTTCTTGGATCAATTATTTTGGTGCTTAATCGTTTGTTCGAGTGTCTATGTAACATATGGACTGTCAAAGGTTGATGATAGAATGGTACAAAGAAATCGAGAAGATAGCGATCGTTAGAAATTCACAAATGAGAAATGCTGGTCATTTCATTTAAGACAATACTTCCAATTTGATGAGAGGAAGGGGGAGCAAGTATCATGCTTGAGACATCATACTGGGCCAGCCGTGAGACATGGCATGAGATCTGTTTATGTGGATTTGTGAGGTCAACCAATAACGGACCAAAAGTTCCTTTATTGAACAAAAGAAAAATTTCAATTTATACAACCAGTTTGGTTCGATTTTAATGAAATATTTTGATTCATTCAAGACCAAAACATGTTGGTGGATCTAGCACAGTCCGTCCCCTAGCCCAATTCATTATTAAAAAAAATTAAATAAATTTTTTTTACGTGATTTTGATTTTTTTTTTCCCCACATTAGTTTGTCCTAAAATTTTTCCTAGACCCACCCGTTTCAATACTTTAATGATTCTTAGACCAAAATCAACGATTTCAAATCAATATATGATGTCGTTGCATGTGTTGCATTAACCCGATATCGTGGGATGAAAGCCTACATGGATGCATTGAAGTTAGCTGACATGAACTAAAGAAGTGAGGTGGTTTAGGCATGCTGAGTGCATATGGGGAAATAATTCACTGTATGCAGTTATATTCAGACTTTCTACTGGATGAAATTAGTCTTAGTGGTCAATTTTCTCAGTTATTACAGGCAGTTATCTTAGTCGATTGATTTTCAATAGACCCACGCAGCTAGGTGTTAAAATTAAGTGTTATAGGCAACAAGTATAGGTTTATTGTGTCCTTGCGACACTTTGCAATAAATTAACCTTTCATTTTCAAATACGTGTTTTTGTTTTGATTACGTTCTATTAAATTTTTATGAAATCTCTTAATATTTCTATACTTGCTTATCTCATTCATGAACAATAGAGAATTTATAGTGTTTAGTGTAACATCATTGTGCACACACCAACTTTACTTCGTTGTTCGTCGTTATTTTAATAGAAGTCTAAGTAGCAATTGTAATTAGTATAATAATAAGTAAATTACGCTAAACGTCCTCAATATTTGAGGTCATTTCACTTCCATCCCCAATCAATTTTTGGGACAAAATTATATGTTATCTTTATGATATATTGAGAAACATGCTCATTTATTAACTTGTTTCATTGCAAATAAAAGTACATTATGTTCATATAAACATAATAAGTTAAGCTATAAAAAAAGTTGGTTGGCTATCAAAAACTAGGTGATCTTAATATTTCAAATACATGAAATCCATGAGAATTCATAATAAATTATAGTACATAACTCTATTAAAATCTTATGAATTCTGTGAAATTTTTTATTCAATTCAATGCAATCCATAAAAAATCTACAAACGTTACGAAATTCAATAAAAATTGACTTGAGGACACTTCTTTTAATCTTATGCCAAATATGTCATTGCTAAATTTAGCTCTTGTTTGGTGCCCATTAAATATATTTTTCTCTATCTTATTTTCAATCACACATTTTTCAATAAAATAATATTATATTTTCTTAAACCCATAACTTATAGAGTGTTGCTATGGGTACAGAATTATTCAACAGAATTTTTACAGAAATTCAAAATACACACACATACATGGGGTGGGTGGTGTATTTTTTTCCAATATAATACTCACATGGATCCCACCCCTGTGAGTACCCTTTTTTTATTCTGTATAAACAATTCTGTACGTGCAGAATTGTTCCAACTTATATATCATATAAATGCTTTAAAAAAAAAAAAAAGTACCAAACGAGCACTAAACTTGACGAATAATAAAGTGCATGCTTGGCCGAATATTGGCCTGAGTATGGCTCGTTCTCAAGTAAGGCTTGTCTATAAAATGTAAACCAAATATTGGGCCTGGACCTCAGCTGAGTGAGCCCAGTTGGGAGACATTGATTGGATCTTTTACTGGAGTAGCTATGGAACATTCGACAGTAAAACCCGGGTTTGTGTAAACTATCCGTTGGATTAAGAAATATTCAACGCAAGTTCAAATGAAGAGAGTGTCACTACGATGACCACATTATGCCTACATTTCTTCTCTATAATTTATTTCCGATTGTGACACTTTCTTGTTTTTATCAGCATACTCATTTGTTCCTTTTCGAAAGCTCCATATCAACTACCCTCTTCTTCAAACGAAACACAAATTCAATAAAAAATTTCATGCTGCCTTTTTTCCCTCTCTAGTTTCTGGCTTTCTGCAGATTCTTAATTGTGTAAGAAAAGGTCATGAATGGTGGAGATGAAGAGGCAGGGATTGATCGGCTTCCGATTGATTTATTGGCCCATATTTTTTCTCTATTGACTTGCTTCAAAGATTTGGCTCAGTATGTTAATTCTTCTCTTTTACTTTTGATGATGTTCTTTCAACTTGAGCTAATTTTCATTTTGGTGTATACAGGGCAAGCAGCGTGTGTAGGAAATGGAGGCAAGGCGTGAAGGAATCACTGGGTACGAGTGAAAAGTTGAGTTTTGCTGGATGGAAAATGGATGACGATTCAATCACCCGCCTGGTTATGCTTGCTAATGGGCTCAAGGAGCTCGACATGTAAATTCTATTCTTCTCTGTATAATTGACTGGATTCTCTTGAACAATGTAGTCTAACTTCAACACGTTCCTCACGTGTGGACACTTTCGTTTACTGATTAAAAAGTCTCGATACGTGCACAAATCTTTTGGGAGATTTACAATGTCTTGATATGATTTTGTGCAAGAAATTGGGGATGCATAACTTTGATCACCTAGTTAGTTTATGGGTTTTGTATCAAATGTTCAGATCAAGGAGCAGATGGGGTTGCCAAATAACTGACCATGGTCTGTACCAATTGTCTATGGCAAAATGTATTTGCAACCTGTCATCAGTATCAATGTGGGGTTCAACAGCAATCACAGACAAAGGAGTTGTTCAAATGGTATGCACAATTATGGTTCGTTTAGTAATCTGGACTGCACAATATTAGAAAAGAAAAGAAAAGTTTAAATCTTATCCATTGTATTGTTCGATCCTATCTAGTATTAAGCACCAATCCAAAATCAAATTTTCTTCAGATTTCTAAAGCTGTTTCACTGCAACACCTGAATATTGGTGGTACATTTATCACGGATGTGTCCCTATTTGCAATTGCAGATAGTTGTCCCCATCTCAAGGTACAATCATCTGTTAAAATAATATTTTCTATGATACTCTCTAGTTCAGTCCAGTATCACGTATCATAGAAACTCTATGTTCCATTAATACTGACAATATCATTTTCAATTTCGTTTGCTCCAGACTATTGTTTTGTGGGGCTGTCGTCATGTAACGGAGAATGGACTTGTCGTGCTCGTAAACAAATGCCGCAAACTCGAGGCGATCAATGTATGGGGTATGAGGTTGCCTCTGGACTGCTTCATTGGTCTGCTTGCAATCAGTCCAGCTCTTCAAATACAACCTGAAGGAATGCTACTAAATGATCAAAGGGTTCCCATATGGCCTATCTTTTAAGGAAGCACGCTTTATTACATCATGTATACAGTACTCTCAAGTCTCAACAGAATGAATCTGCTTTTTCAAATTGGTTTGTGTGTTTGGTGTTATTGAGAATGATTACACCTAATTAAACACATTCTTCTCATTATTGATGAAAATTCACGAAGAAGTTTCTTCTTGTGCTCTCTAGTCATCAACAACCCCGC